CTTTGCGTGATTTGCAGTGCGACTTGGATGAACCTAGTGCCATCATCGCGGACCAGGAAGCCTGCTTTGTCACCAGCCAATCTGGCCTGGCGCTCTTCAGTGGAAGATGACTTGGCGGCCCAGTCGCGCTGGATGAAGAAGTCTGCTGAACTGCACATTCCCAGGAGCCGTCGTGCTGCTGATCCTAGCCGGGCCAAGTTCTTGCTGCTGAACGTGAAAAGTGGAGCCACATGCGGGCGGCCGGAGCTGGCGCTGCTGAAATCTCAGCTCAAGCGCCGAGGCCAGAAAGCTGCCGCGCTTCTCCTGACTTTCGGGTCAAGACACTGAAGCGCGTTTTGCTTCCTGGCTACTGGTGGGATGCCTTTTCAACGTTGCGAGGGAAGATGTTCCTCACGAGAAATGATCCCTGATGCCTGGCAGTTAGCTTGGGTCTCTCTACTGAGGTCCGAGAACCTGGCAAAACACTTCTTCGAATCGCTGGATTGGGGCCTTGTTATTGCCGCGCCAGTCGCTTGAAATGTTAATCGGCAATTACTACGCTGGGTCTGTGCGGCTCTTGTCCTACTAGATGGGTCTATGCGGCTCTTGCCCTACAGAGGCCATGTTGACGATGGCCGACGCGAGGGCTTCTTCAAGGCTGCACTCACCTTCTCCGCTGTTAGCTGGGTGCGTTATGCGCTGCTAGACAGAGACTGCTCTTATCCATGGTCAGGTTAGCGCCCTCACTTTCGTTGATGACCGGTCTTATTGGAGCCACAAGAACACTTCTGTTGAGGTTCTGCGCTTGGCTTCTCGGCATAGCCGGCATTTTGATGAGGTCTCCCATCTGCACAGCGACCCTGCTAAGTTTGCTGTTATCAGTGTGAATGGTGGCGCGCAGGAGCTTGCCACTTCTTTGGGCTAGGAGCTCAAGCAAGATTTTGCCATCCTTGGTTTGGTGCAGTCTGTGGATCCCTCTGCGCCGCGCAGGTGGCAAAGGTTTTCTCTTCAGAAAGCACAGGTTTTCATGCGACGTGTTCTGGACGGGCGGGCTCGCGAGGCCTGATTCAGTGATGTTAAGTCGCTCAGCGCTCAGTTCAGGCAGGCCTTTCATGCCTTAACCCATGAGATGCCCCCTGTGCTCTTTCAGGAGAATGGCCGTGGAATACGTTACAGTATGTTCTGGGCGCTGCTACGTTGCAGGCCGTGGTGTGATTTGCCGTGATGACTCCTGGCAGGATTTCTCGTTGCCCTAGATGCAGCTGCTCCCAACTGGTCTTGAGCTCTTTGAGCGCGCCCAGATGCACCCGGTTGGCTTCTTCCGATGATAGCTCTGGCTTCTCATGCTTTCACTTCAGTCATGACTCCCTCAAGGTCGCCATTGCTTGGCTGAAGGATTCCTATCGTTATCGGAAGAAAGCACTGTGTGCTTGTGGCCGCAAGTCCAGATCTCTGCGTTATGCTGGTGAGGGCCTGGTTCAAGGTTTACTTCTACCTGGACCTGCTCACTGTCACGATGGGGTATATTTAGTTCTTGCCTCTTGCAGGCGGACATAAGAAAGTG